ATAAACATCTAAGGATATAAAGCCTAGATAAATTTCAAAGGTCTAAGAAAATGATTTAAAATATATAAATACAAGTTACTCTATACTATTATATTATGATTTCAAAGTTTCAGAGTTTTAAATCAATGGAGTTCTGGTAAGTTGATAAAGTATTGACTCTTATCGGTCACAAGCTCAAGATTTTAAATTTCCTTAAAGATGCTTATCAGCCTGCTAAAAACGTCTCTGTCCAATCTATTTCTCCAGTCCCCTGGACAGGAAAAAAAAGAATGCTTATGCTTTTTTTTTTTTTTTTACCCAAAGCCATAGGTTTTGCTGTGACTCAAAGGCACGAGTCTATTCTAGTTGTTTTACAGTCAACTGTTATCTGATTTTTCTACAACATGGATTTCAATATAGATTACAAACAATGTTAATGCTAGTATAACTAGAAGTTGCATCTGTTTTATAAACTAAAAATATTCATGTAAGCCTCAAGGAATTGAGGAAATCATAAATTTGGATCCATCTCTCACAGGTCAAACAGACTCAGTGCTGGGTAGTGGTGGCGCTCACCTTTAATCCCAGCACTTGGGAGGCAGAGACAGGTAGATCTGAGTTTGAGACCTGCCTGGTCTACAGAGTGAGGTCTAGGACAGTCAGGGCTACACAGAGAAACCCTGTCTGGAAAAAAACAAAACGAAAGAAAACAAAAGCAGAGTGTAAGCTTCCCTACTTGCCTTTTCCTGAGGTTAGGATCTCTCTCCCCTGGACTTGGTACTCCTCCCCTCCCCCACCTACCAGGACTATGTTCCTGGAAGCTTAAAAGAAAATGTAATATTTTTCTTTTTTTTTTTTTTGGTTTTTCGAGACAGGGTTCCTCTGTGTAGCTTTGCGCCTTTCCTGGGACCTACTTGGTAGCCCAGGCTGGCCTCGAACTCACAGAGATCCGCCTGGCTCTGCCTCCCGAGTGCTGGGATTAAAGGCGTGCGCCACCGCCGCCGCCGCCGCCGCCGCCGCCGCCGCCGCCGCCGCCGCCCGGCATATTTTTCTTTAAGTTCCTTAACTTTAATTTCTGTCCCTAGTCTACAACTGTGTCTGCAAATTTCCACTTGGCTGGTACACACAATCAAGGAATCAGCTGTACACTACAAAGTGCTCCAAACAGCTACAAGTCTTGGACTTGATGAAAGCAGATATAAACCATTCTAGCCCACATGATTGCTCCCTGTCTCTTCAGCTAACCAGATGCTTCTGATGAATACCCGATTGCCTGACTCCCCTCCCAGCCTTTGACTAGCATTCTAGCTTTCACGAGCCCTGACAATTTCAACAGAAAGTAGTTACAGGGGAGAGTACATAACCCCTTATTCTTAACAAAGGCTGGAGGGGTAGATCCAAAGGAAAACCCCTGGTAAAGGGGGCAGAGTGACTGTACATATAACCAGTTCCCTCATTAACAGAAAGGTACCTGTTGAAAACCAAATAGATCAAGAGCTATCAATAAGTAATTAGCTAAAATAGTTCTACAATATGATAGGGTGTTCAACCTGCTCTATGCAGAAAAATGATGGCTTTAAAAAAATTATCCTTCTTATGCTAAAAATTATTCTTCTTATGCTAACCAATCAGACATAATTAGAGAGACCATAGCCATGATACAAATATTGTCTCCCTCCAAATAAAAAATATTATGATACTTGCCCCACCCCCAGCATTATCAGCCCATATAGCATATAAAAGTAACTGTTCCCTGCCGGGCGGCGGTGACACACACCTTTAATCCCAGCACTCAGGAGGCAGAGCCTCCTGTGGATCTCTGTGAGTTCAAGGCCAGCCTGGACTACAGAGCAAGATCCAGGACAGGCACCAAAACTACACAGAGAACCCCTGTCACAAAAACAAAACAAAACAAAAATAACTGTTCACTATTAAGGATTTGAAAGAGACACATAAGACAAGGTGGAAATGATGGACCAGCTTGACTCCATCTTAAGATTAAAAGCCACTGCCAGGTGGTGGTGGCACATACCTTTAATTCCAGTACTTAGGAGGCAAAGGCAAGCAGATCTCTGTGAGTTTGAGGCCAGCCTGGTCTACAAAGCAAGTTCCAGGACAGCCAAAGCTGCACAGAAAAACCCTGTCTCTGTAGACCAGGCTGGCCTTAAACTCAGAGATCCACCTTCCTCTGCCCCCCAAGTACTGGGATTAAATGTGTGTGCCACCACCATTCAGCTAAAAATATTTTTGAATTAAATATTAATTTAAAAGTTTTAGGACACTGGGTAGTGGTGGTTCAAAACCCCAGCTCAGGGGAAATGAGGCCAAAGGTCAAAGTGTGTCACTGGATAACGCGGGGAGAATCACACGCGCTAAGAAACTCTGGTGTTGTCATGAGGTATCTCCAGCAGCCATGGAGAAGGTCTAGAACCATTTCACAGGAGAGGGAATGCTTGAACTCCTGAGCCACACACTATGTAAACACAACACATCAAAGGACTGTGTTTAAGAGTACAACAATGGAAATGTTTTGGAATACACAGGTGTGAACCTTCTTGACCCTAAATGAGGCCATTGTTTCTTAGCTTTTCTAAAGGAAACAGCAACCAAAGGTAAATACATCATATCTTCACCAGAACAAGTTTTGTTTTGTTTTGAGTGTGCCAACTATATAGCTCTGGCTGTCCTCAAACTCACAGAGATCAGCTTGCCTCTGCCTCCAGAGTGCTGTGATTAAAGGCTCACATCTCTACACTCGGCTTAAACAAAATTTTTATGTGTGGTACTGGGACTGAACCAGAACCTTAAATGTAGTAGGCAAGAGTCTACCACTGTGTGAGTCACATCCCCAGCAATAAAATTTGCTTTCCAAGGACACTCTCAGCTGGGCACAGTAGCTGACCACTGTAAGTAACTCAGTTATAGGGAGGCTGAGGCAGAAGGACCAAGAATTTGATAGCAGCCTGGCTGCACAGGGAGACCTCATTTCATAACAAACCAGCTGGGCATGGTGCAAAAACCCTGCACTCGATGCACTCTGGAAGTAGAGGCAGGAAGAATCAGAGTTCAAGACCGTATTGGGCTAAATGGGGGCACGTGTTTCAAAGCATCAAACATACCCCACAGATATAGCAGCTTCTGCCGTAATCCCACATTTGACAGGCTCAGGCAGAACTGCTGTAAACTGAGGGCAGACTGGGCTACATAGTGAGTTCTACTGCAGAGTGAGACATCCTGTAAAAAAATAAAACAGCCTATAGAATGAGATAGTCATAAATTATATAAGGATTTAAAGTCCAGAATACAAAGCTCTTACGTGCCCAGTGTAAAAACAAACAAATATGGGCAAAGGATTTGAACAGAGGCATTTAAAAAGATCCACAGTGAGGCTGGGGCTATGGCTCAGTTGGTAAGGAGGAAATTAAAAAAAAAAAAACAATCAGGTAAGAATATTATTTTTAAAGGCCGAGTTTGGTTGCTTTGAGTTGGGAAAGATCCACCTTTATTAAAAAAAAAACCTTGTTTGCATATTATGTCTGTGCACCATGTGTGTGCCTGGTGTCTGTGGAGACCAGGAGAGGATATTGGATTCTCTGGAGTTTAAAGTGTTAGGTGTTAGCAGGTTGTGTGTGCTGGTAACCAAATTTGCATCCTTTGAGTCACTAAGGGCTCTTAACCACTGAGCCATGTTTCCAGCCCTCTAGGGGTCCACGTTTTGCTACTGAAATGGTTTTCATGTGGCCACGTCTGGTCTTCAACTCATGTAGCTTAGGATGGCTTTGACCTCCTGATCTTGACTAAGCCTCCCAAGTACTTGGGCCATAGTATAAAAGTATAGCCAAGTAGCACAGGGCTACATCCAGGCTTTAGTTCAGCACAGGGCAGACACAGGTGGTCCACTAGGCCAGCTATAGGATTAAAATTCAAAGCTCAAGCTCAACATACTTACCCCAATCATTTGGCAACAGGTGACCAGAACAGAAAAACCCCAGCCAGTCACTTTATAAACTCCACCTTAACAGTAACCATGCAGACAGCCCACAGATCCCCACTAGAATCGTCTCACCAGTCAAAATGAAGTGCCCTTTGAATAGAAGTCTGAGATTCTTAAGTCTGAGATTATTTGTCTTAAGACAAATAATTTGAAAACTCATTTCATTGTTCAGTATATTTATTAACCGTATGTTTGGGCTGGGCAGTGGTGGCGCACGCCTTTAAACCCTGCACTCCGGGAGGTGGAGGCAGAAGCAGGCGGATCTTTATGAGTTCAAGGTCAGCCTGGGCTACAGAGTGAGATCCAGGAAAGGTGCAAAGCTACACAGAGAAACCCTGTCTCAAAAAATCCAAAAACAAAAACAAACCCAGTATGTTTATAATCAGTATGGTAAATTTAAACTATGGTTTCTCATCTTAGTTTCTTCATCCAGAAAGTTCAACACACTTAGCACCCACTGCCTCAGAACACCCATCCCGAAGCTTCAAGAGTTAAACTGTCAACTTGATCTTTTGACAAGAGGAAGAGAATAAGGCAATTTCTGTAGTCTCCCAACTTATTTCCCTCAAATATAAGCCACATGAATTCTGTGAAACAAGTTCAAATCGAAGCCACAAATCCATCAGGTCTGTATTTCTATACATTTCCACCAGCAAAAGTCTCTACTAACATTGTTGCAGGTGTTAGTAGTGGTAGACCATATTGATCTACATGGTCAAACACAGGAGCATTGCCCCAAGAGACAGTCAGCAGATTGTCTGTTAATGTTAATCAGCGGGGTGCCCCACTGTTGGTAACCAAACCTTTGACTTGCCGATCTTTGCTCATACTGTAAGGATCGCCAAACACTTCAAGAACCATTTCCCTGCACCCACTCTCCTCAGTCTACTTCTGGGACGCACACCCACCTCCACTCACAACTGTGTTTGGGAGACTGACTGGATCTAAGACCATTCAATCAATCCAAGAGAGCTGGAAGCCAGGTTCTCCAATGCTGGAAAAAGATCAGAGGCAGCATTCCAAGCCAAACTGTATCCAGCTTTATTAAAGATACTTTCCATAAACAATCATGGTTTTTCAGGCAGGACATGGGCAGACAGTCATTAACAGTATACAAGAACTTCCAAACTCCCTTCTTGTATAGACTACCAAAATCAGAAAGCCACTATAAAACCCGATGAGTCTTCATTCGATGCTTTGAAAAGGGGGAGAGCTTAGAGTGAGGGCTGACAGTTCACATTGAGGATGTTGTTTAACAACTTTTCACAAGCCGACCCTGACTTTCAGGAAACCAAACGAACACAGCAGAATTATCAATCTGAAGATCCACAATCTTTTATAAAAGGAACCGCTGCTCTTTTGAGGACACAATGATACCACTGCAAAGTCCAGATTGCCTGATAGACTGGCAAAACCAATTTTGGGGGTCAGGTTCCAACAGGTCTCTGGTTTGAAGGGAGTTAAGTCTATGTTGATGGTCCAGGGGAGGAGGACACAGAAATGAATTTAGAGTTTCCCACACAAGGCATTTTGTGCCATGGTGGCCCATATGTCAACACCAGGACGTCTCTCCTGAGAGCCAAGAGGAGTCTTTCAAAATTAGCAGGGAAAGATGTTTTCCAACATCAACCATCACCAATCCAGCTTGGGAGACATTTTGTTAGTGACACATGTTCCTTCCCCCCTCAAAACAATGAAGTGTTCTGTGTGCTAACAACATAGCTTAAAAAAAAAAAAAAAGTAAAACAAAATTCTGCATTTTTATAAAACTTGATAAAAAATAGTATTTCAAACTGTACAGTCACCAGAAGTACACAGTTATCAAAAATGCACACATTTCACTTGGCATCTCCAGCACCTTCAGCTTTTTGTGCCTAAAAGAAAAAGAGATAAAGTCAACACATAAATTAAAATTTATCTTTGCTTATAGTCTACACATGGTATCACTGTTTCATTGATAAAACCTGGGTTTTTGGGTCCTTAAAAACACCAAGACTGCACTTCGAGAATGGCACTCATCAACTTTACTCAATCACTCCCTCCACTGACCAACTAGGGAAGATCGGAAGCCCCAAGGTCACTTCCAGTTTTAAAATTTCACACTGCAGCGTGAGGGACACTTTGGGACAGGCCAACACAGCAGTGCCTTTTAGACTGTAATACAGTTTTAGAACTGAGGATTCAGACAGGAGGAAAGTCACACTTTAGCGGAGTGATCCAGATATAAGGGGTAATAAACAATTTTGTAATCAAGACTCATTTGACTGCATACCCAGTGGAGAGCAAGGCTGCAGCTGTACCTGGTCTGTTTTGGCGTCTCCGTTTTCTGCAGGATTATTCGCATCCTTCCCGGCATCGGCCTTCCCCTTCTTCCCCTTGGGGACCTTCTCTCCCTTCTAAAACCAAGGAAGGGCGGGCGGAGAGAACGGTTCTTCATTTTGCACACCAGGACATAACCTACCAAGTCCTGAAAGCAGGCTTGCCTATGAAGATACACCCCTCCACGAGGCTAAATTACAACTGACACTGCTCTGCATACACCGTCCTTTAAACGTAAGTTACAGAACACAATAGCTAAAAATACTCGTTAACAGTCAAGTGTAGTTTTCTGGAATTCGTGCCAAGGATACCAACATGACAAATATCAGGAATTCGTGCCAAGGATACCAACATGACAAATATCAGGAATAAGGCTATCAAAAGAACTTACAACATCCACTGATGGAGTCACCATTATGTTGAATTAGGTTAAGGTGGTGAAGGACAGTTCTCTTTCTGCGAAAATTACCAATCTAGTATTAGCGCCACAGTCTCTGAGTCCCGCTTACCTTTGCAGGGGCCTTTTTAGGCTTGGGCTCTGGCTTTGGAGGAGCAGGTTTCTTATTTTGGTAGGCAGAGGGGAAGAGGAAACTATTAGTACGATGGACCAAAAGAAACAAGCCCCAAACCACAGCTGGGAAAGCCCCTCTCTGGGACTGCCTTTCTTTTACAATCTAGAAGTGAGCTTCCGCTTTGGTCATAACCATCAGAACTCAAGACAACGGTAAACTCCAGATGTGCAACACCACAATTTACTCAAAACCAGCCACAAACTATAATTCAAAGAAACCAAAGGGACCCCCAAAATGTTTCCCAACCTCAGGGTAAGTAGGAAGAATTCAAAGTATTCACTTACAGCAGACAACCTTGCAGATCTTCTCTGTGGCTATTAAAATAAAAACAAAGTCAGAAAAATAAGCACGAGTTTCACACCGTTTTTTTTACACATTAAAGTGAACAAGCAATCAACTCTAGGGCAACTTCCAGACCAGGGGCTGTGGTCAAATAACAAATACTACCAAAGGAGCCCCGTGGCGTTAAGACTCACCTCGTCCTTCACCTTGGCTTTATCTCCTTTAGTATCCCCTTCAGCCTACAAAAAAATAAAAGACCGAAATTTGTAACCTCGGAAGTAAATCTGTCATCGAGAACTTAACAGAAAGTGACACCACGTTTCGAAGACGTATCCACTCAGTTTCTCCTAAAAGTAGCTTCAGTGGGGCTGGAGCCCAACTCAAGCCGGAGGCGCGCACGGAGGACCCCGCAGGTCCGCCGTGCAGCGCGGGAGATGCTGGAGCGGGGCCCGGGACCCGGCGCCCGGTGCCACCAGCCAGGCAGGAGCAACAGCTGCAGATTGTGCAAACAAACCCCTCCGGAGGCGGAGCCCGGCGCCGTTGCTATGGCAGCCGTCGAGGGCGGGAGCTCGGGGAACTCGTGGGCGGCGACGCGCGGCCCCTGCGCCGGGAACGTGGGCGGCCGGGGGCGGAGCCACGCCGCGGCCCCGCCCCTCGCGGCGTCGGTTTTTTGGCGGCAGAGCGCTCCCCCGCCCGCCCAGCCGAGCGCCGCCTTCCCGCCCTTTCGGGTTTGAATCGCCCGCTCGCTCGCTCGCCCGCCCGGAGGAGGAGGGGAGGGGGCCGCCGGTGGGGGAGGGGGCGCGGGCGGCCGCGAGGAGCGGGAGAAACAGCTGCCAACATGGCTCCTCCCGCCGCCGCCGCCGCCGCTCCTCCAATATGGCTTCTGGCGCCCGCGGGCAGCGCGCCGCGCAGGGTTCGCCCGCGGCCCGACTCGGGCTGGAACCCCGCGCCGCGCCCGCTCTGCCCGCCGAGTTCGGCGCTCGAGGCGAGCGGTGGCAGTGGCGGCGCCTGGGCGCCCGCGCGCTCGCGCCACGTACCTTTCTTTTGGGCATGGCGGCGGCGGCGGCGGGGGACGTCGGCGCTGGACGCGGGGATGCAGCGGTGCGCGGGTTTGGTCCGTCCGGGGGTCGTTCTCGCCGCTTCTTCACACTGCTCGGGCTCCGGGGGGTTTATAAAGTTTTTATAGCGCTGGGAGCCCCGGACCGGTTAGAACCGGATTTCACCTCCCGCCGCCGCTCATTGGCCCAGTCGGGGTCACGTGGGCGGGGTTTAAACTCACCTCCTCTGGAGTGAGGAGGGGGTGTAGGGGGAGGGGGAGCGAGACGGCGGCGCGCCTTGGGGGAGGGGGCGCGGTGAGGGAAGGCGCGCGTCGGAGGCAGTGGATGAGGGGCGGGCGAGGCGGCGGGCTCGGGGTTCCGCTCCCGCCCGAGCTGGCTTTTGCAAACTACCAAGTTCCTTCCACCTTATGCAACCCTGCTACCCACTTCTCCCGGCCGCGCGACAGCGGGCACAGCTCGGCCGCTTCCCTTCCTGCTCCCGCTGGGGCCCCCAAGAGGGGTTTGCGAGGCCTGCCCGCGCCGCCCAGCTCCATCGGCGGCGGGAGGCGCGCCGCTTCGGGCGCCGGCGGCAGCCCCGGGGGCCACGGGCTCCGGTGGGGTGAGCGCGAGGAGGCTGGCTTGGCGCAGTCGGACGTGCATCCTTCCGAGCTGCCACCTTGGGGAACCCCTCCGTGCGCCTCACCTGGAAAGCAGTCCCCTGGAGGTGGGGGCATGGGCTTGAAGTGGAGACTCTCCTCCACACAGGGGAGCCTTTCGGGTACGGCGGGGCAGGTAGGAGCTGTCCTTTCAGCACCTACTGCTCAATCGCCTCCCCAAACGCTAACCAGCCCCCCAACATCGGCTGGGTGGCTTCCTTAAGTCCCTGCACGTCCGGCCCCCTGGACCCGTCACAGAATGGTGGAGAAAAGCCGCCAACACGGTCTGCGAGCACTCCCCTCCCCCTAAGCCCTCTGGGTCTCGGATAAAGCTAGCCCAGCTGCCCCCACTCGACAGAGGCCACCAAACCTGGGCTTTGCAGATGCCACAGCTGGCGAAATCCCTCCCAGTACACTATCATGCCGGCTTGCTTTCGCTTGCGTGAGGAAAAAGCCGTTGAAGGAAAGCGCCGGAAGGTTAGGAAACAAGTAGACGAACAGGTGTGATGGCCAAGGGGCCCTTCCAGTGCACCCCAACCCAAAGCCCAGCGTTCTGGAGCTAGCCAAGCGCCCCGGAGGGAGGCTGCTAATCGCAGAAGCAAAGCAAGGCGTTCTCTCGTTAGTTACTAAACAAATCTTACATCTAAGAATTAAAAAAAATTTCTATTTGACACCCAGAACACAACCGGCTAAACATCTGCAACAGGGTGTTTGGCGCTTAAGTGCAAAACACACAAACAGGTCCCACCTTATTTTTTGAGGCAAGGGTTGAAGCTAATTTGCAAACCTCCAAATCAAGCATTCTGCAGCCTTTGCTTCTGGGCAGCAATGGATCTGCCTCTTCTTTCCACTCCCACAGTGCCTCCTGAGGCAGCCCCCGCCCGCACCCACTCCACCCTGTGCACCTTTCCCAGAATACAGGCCCCCAGGCTGGAAGATACCTTCCCCATTAATCACCTGTACTGTACTCCTTGCAAGAGAGTCAGCCAGGACGCCACAGCCATGCTTGCTGGGCAGATCCGTTTGCTGCCTCCAGCCTCTCATTCCCGCCTTAATTGTAGGGCTCTGCATTATAGCCACATAATTCATGCCTCCCTAATTAAAGCTGTCAACAGCCTCATTGTAAAGCTGGAAAATGTACAGCACCTGCTCTTGGGGAACTCTGTGCCAGGGACTGGTTTTGGGGAGTGCCAGGTGTATAGGGGGCCTTGCCAAAGGGTGCATTGATTGGCTTTCGGGTGCAGTGTCAGGCTTTCATACTTGATTCTGGCCGAAAGGTCACCAATGACAGGTATCTAGGCACAAAACTGGGGGTGGGGGTGGGGGTGGGGGGCAAGGCAAAGAAAGTTAGAAATCTCAGAGTACATTTAACGTGCCTTCTAACAACCCACCCCTTTCTGGGAGAGAGGTGCTGGGGAAAAGGTTTGCAGACAGAATGAGAAACCCAGAGTGGCATATGGTCAGAGTTCCTGGCTAGTATTTACTGCTCTGGAGGCATCTGAAGCAGAATAGCTCTGCAGACCTTTCTTCAAAGGTAGTTACCTCTCCTCAACCCTGTGGGGTGGCAGGGAATCTTGCCTCTTCCTGTAAGTCAGTGTGGGCCCTCACAGGCTCAGGGCCTGCAGTGAGCTCTGCCATGATGAGAGTAAACTGTCTCAGGACCCACATGGGGAGTCAGGTCAGAGAGCTGTGAGGAGGAGCCTTGAAGGTTGGGCGCAGGAATCAGTTTGAGTTGGCAAGGGAAGGAGACAGTCAATCAGGAAATGCTCAGTTCTGTTCAGTCTTGATGTGTTACAAGTTGGCCTGTGTTGGATTAGACTTTAGGACCTCTACAGGCCCTTCTGCTACCCTGTAGCCATGGAGGGGGTTGGGTCTCTCTGGGGAGTGGAGCCTGGCCCCATGCCCTGCAAGGGGGTGTAAAGCTTGTGTGGGCTGAGTCAACAATAGGTAATTGGATTGTAATCACCCGCCTGGCTTCCATGAGCCATTGGGGGCGCTGAGCCTTTCAGTGAGCAATCAGTACTGGTGGTGGGAGGGATGGAGATTCAATAGCAAATCCCAGGTGGAGAGCCAAGGGGAGGGGCAGCAGATGGGCAAATTTTCTTCCTGTCCTTCCCACCCCTTTCTTCCCTGCCCAGTGATGCTGGCTGCCTATCAGTTATTTACCAGTAGATTCAAATCTTTTGTAAAAGTCACGTGGGGGGCTTAGGCAGGATGGGTAAAGGCCTAGGTTTTGGGAAGACCTCTTCTGCATGTTGGAAGGATATGCTAGTGGAAAAAGAACATGCATCCAAAGACGGGGACAGGAAACACAGGCGATGAGTTAGGGTCCCCTGGTCTCCAGATTTCAGTGACTGGTCTTGGACTTAGTGTAAGCCTGGGAGACCCTCCCTCAAACTCAAGTGGGGGTCACTGTCACAGGTAACCCAAAGGTGTCTGTCTGCAGGTAGTAGGCCTTGCCTTTGGGGTTCCCTGAAAAGCAAAGGGAGCACAATTCATCAAAAACAGAAAGGTGCCTTTCACAAAGAAAAGAAAAGGAAGCTGGGGCCCAAGAGGCACAGGGCAGGGCAAAGTGGCCGTAGCCAGCCTCACTTAGGCAGATGCAGTGCCCAAAAGTGCCAGCCAGTCAGCCCGTTTAAGTTCCAAGGCCTTCAGGAAGCCTTGGACTCGCTCTTCCCGTTTGGCGGAGAGTTTGTGCAAGCGTGTCCGTCGGAGCTGGGCATCCCCACTGGCCTGGGGTCCCTCTCGAAGCAGCTGCTCGGTCACTGCAGCCTGGTCCCTCTCCAGCTGGTGTCTCTTCCGCTCCTCAGCATACATGTCTCGGGCCTTCTGCTAGACAAAAGTGGGGTTTGGGGTAGGGAGATAGTTTTAGGTGTGGGTGGAGATGGGATGGAGAAGGTGGGAAGAGGGTATGGAGTGGCCAAGTAGACAAGCTTCGGAGAGTTTCCACCCGTGTGGAAAGGCACCCCTGTTACACAGACAAGCCAGCAGAAGTCCATCTTGGCTTGTTTTATGTGGAAATATCTATATTTCTTAAATTCTCTCAAGCTTACACTTGGAAACAGGTCAACAGTCTGACTTCTGATTCTCTGTAGCTGCAGGAAGATCCTCCCCACCAGTTTTTGTTTTTTTTATTCATCTGTAAAGTGGGGGCTGTGCCTACCTTGAAGAGAGGTTTAAGGGATTAGGGGTAATAAATGCAAAACTCACTCTAACATGCTAGCAGGCAGAGAAACAGTGATTTATATGTTGTTGTCTACTGTCTGAGACGATATGCTCTGGGTCTTCTGACGGTTCCTGGGTCAGTGTGAGGTGCCGTTCTCCAGCTCCCTAGTCTGTTTTTGGGGTCCAGCTCTGGACTTGCCTCCTATAATGAGACAGGCTTGACCCTCTAAGCAAACAGCCCTCCTAAGAACGCTAAGAAGCAAACTCAACTCTTAAGCCACTTACTGCTGCCTAGACTGGGTATTAGTCTCCTCATGTCTGCTTTCTGTTGGAGAAGAATCCCTCCACGGCTCCAGAAGCAGCAGGGCCCCAGGAATCAATTCTGACAGCTGGTGGTGATCAGAGTCTCTGCAGTACCTCTGAGACCATGCATAGATATGCCTTCAGACAACAAACTCTTCAAGAGGGCAGAGATGACTTTCCTCTCTGGCACCTGGAGCACTCTGCTCCATATGAAGTGTTCACTCACTTGACCATATGATCACAAGAGGACAGGAAGCGTGCTTGTGGCAAAAGCGGGAACTCCCTTTAGAACAGAAGAGGCTGGCTTGTCTCATGGACTGTCCCTGCCAATCTATCTGGCCTACAGAGTCTTGGCAGCAGAGCTCCTCACGCCGAACCTGTCCTGTCCGAATCAATCTATAAGTAAATCCTCACTGCTATGTCTCCACTCTTTTTTCTACATGCTATGCTCACAAACACTTCATCCATTGTCTCACTGACCTTCAAAATAGAGCTGTGAGCAGACCAGGTGGTGGCATACGCCTTTGATCCCAGCACCTAAGAGGCAGAGGCAGGTGGATCTCTGTGTTCTAGGCTACCCTGGTTTACAAATAGCAACCAGGACAGCCAGAGCTACGTAACTGGGAGACCCTGTCTCAAAACACCAAACACAACCCCAAGAAACAAACAAACAAATTACTTGTGTGTGTGGGAACAGCTCAAGTTGGATCCCCAGAAACCAAAGGTAGCAGAATGTGCCTGTAACCCAGGCACTGGTAGGGAGAGAGGACATCCCTGAAACTTACTGGCCTTCTAGCCTAGCAGAATAAATGAACTTTACCTTTACAGAGATCCTGTCTCAAAACATAAAGGTGGGGGGCTGGCAAAATGCATCGGTAGGGAAAGGTGCTATTTCATCCTGGCAACGTGAATTCAATCCCTGGAACCCATGAAAAGGTGGAAGGAGATCTGGTTATGGTAGTCCACACTTTTAATCCCAGCATTCAGGAAGCAGAGGCAAGGCAGATCGCTGTTAAGTTTGAGGCTAGCATGGTCTACAGAGGGAGTGGCAGGGTAGCCCAACCTACATTGTGAGTTCCAAGCTGGCCAGAGGTACATAGTGAGACCCTGTCTCAAAAACAATAAAGAAAGTGGAAAGTGAAAACCAACTCCACAAAGTTGTCCTATGACCTCCACATACATACTGTGGGACACTGTGTGTCTACCCACATTACACTTAAACATATACACTAATAAATAAAATTAAAAAAAAAAAAGGATGAGAAAGATCAAGGAAAGACACCTGATGTACGCTTACATATACACACACAAATAAGTACATGTATCATATACATACACTAAGCACATTACACAAAAAAAAAGTAGCATGAATTTTCTCAGGTCAGAATGAATTTGCTTGAAGCCCTGAAATTTGAGAAATTCCTGTCCAAAAGACTCTTACTTTTCTAAGACTATATTTCTTCTTCTAAAAAAAAAAAGATTTATTTTTATTTTTCTAATTGAGTGTGTGTGTGTGTGTGAACATGAGTCATGAATATAGGTGCCCACAGAGACTAGAAACATTGGCTTTCCCTCGGAGCAGGAGTTACAGGTGGTCATGAGCCCTTGAGTGCTGGAAACTGCTCTTCCTTCGGAAGAGCAGGAAACCCACCGAACGGCTGAGTCATTGCTCCTGCCTTCCTTTCTTTTTCAGTAAACTTTTTATTTCTAAGAAAAACCATAAATCACTCATATCACATACAAGAAATTTTCTTTAAGAATAATCCTAGCCAGGTGGTGGTAGCACACGCTTTCAATCCCAGCATTCAGGAGCCAGAGGCAGGTGGATCTCTGTGAGTTCAAAGCCAGTGTGGTCTTGGTCTATAAAGTGAGTTTCAGCACAGCAAGGACTACACAGAGAAACCATGTCTCAAAACCCAAAAGCAATCCTGAGCAATTACACTTTTTATTTTATAGACCAGATATTGAAATTTGGTAATATAACAAAAATCTCTAGTCAAATGTTTACATTAGCTATTGAATATCTTTTTTTTTTTGAAGATTTGTTTATTTA